CGCTGGCGCTGCAGGAGGCCCTGGAGCCCGCCGTGCGCCTGGGCCGCTACCCGCGCGCGCAGCTCGAGGTGTCCGCCCTGCTGCTGGAAGACGGCGGCTCGGCCCTGGCCGCCGCGCTCACGGCTGCCGCGCTCGCCCTGGCCGACGCGGGCATCGAGATGTACGACCTGGTGGTGGGCTGCGGCCTGAGCCGCGCGCCGGGGCCCGCGCCCACCTGGTTGCTGGACCCCACGCGGCTGGAGGAGGAGCGCGCCGCCGCCGGCCTCACGGTGGCGCTCATGCCGGTGCTCAACCAGGTGGCCGGGCTGCTGGGCAGTGGGGAGGGGGGCCCGACCGAGAGCTGGGTCGAAGCCGTGCGCATGGGTCTCGAGGGCTGCCAGCGCCTCTATCCTGTGCTGCAGCAGTGCCTGGTGCGGGCTGCCCGCCGGAGGGGCGCCGCGACCCCGTCCTGAACCAGAAGCCGGAGGAAAGACGGACGCCCAGGACCCTGCTGCTGCCGCCGCCGCGGCCCGTCGGCTTCCAGGCTGCGCCGCCCTGAGAACTCGGAGCCCCTGAGAGGCTCTGGGGAGACGCGCCGGGACTGATGCACTGGACAGCTGTGCCGGAACAGTTTTGTACGCACGGACTGGTTAGCGATCCTTTTCTACTGAAGCTGGCTCTTCGCCCCGACCCCGTTGGAAAGGACGTCGGCCGGGCAGAGGTGGAAGGTGGGACCCGACGCCACTGCTGCCTTGTGAGGGATGGACCCCGTGCGGGCGGGCCGGTGACTCCCTCCCCTGTAACGGGGCTGCTGTGGAGAGAGCGCACAAGGGGGCTGTGCCTTCTCACTTATGTCTGAGCTGCAACAGAACAAAAAACCCTTTTCTATCTGCAAAGCCTTCTGTCGTGGTTCTTGGTACAGGATTTAGAAGAGCCGGGCTCTCCCGAGCTTTGTAGTGTGTTCTTGGACTCCCGGTGTCAGGGCTGCGGGCAGCAAGGTCTAAATGTGTTCTGCCCCTCAGTGTAACGGGAGCAGAAGAGAGGCTGGAACGGAAGGAGCCGCGGGGGTTCATGTGGGGAAACGGGGCTTTGGACGAGAAGCTGCCCCTCAAGTACCGGCGTCCGGGCCGCCGCTGAGGTTTGATGCGCGTCGGGAGGGCTGGGTGTCTCCAGGAGCATTCTGGGTGCACACCAGCCTGTTTTGGTGCCGGGAAGGGTGTGGCTCTCCGCGGAAGCTAGATCCCACCCTTCCTTGGCCTTGTGCAGAGCAGCACAGCCAGCCTGAGGGCCTAGACTGGCTTCATTATTGGTGGCTCGAATCCAGTCTCAGCCCCTGGGAGAGGGCGGTGAGCTGCCGGGAGTGAGAGCTGGATGTTGGGGATCCAGATGCAGCCTGGCCATTCCGGAGGGCCAAGCTGCCTGGCTGACTGGCCACAAGGACAGGATCTTCCCTGGTGGCTCCTGAGCCCAGGGGTTTGTGCTCATGTCGGAGGAAGGCAGGGCAGCTAGTCCCCTCTCTGTGCCTGGGTTTGGTATGAGCCTCTGAACTTGAGTGTCTTGGGTCTGCTCAGCTCCTCTGGAAGGGCTGGCCTGGAGCAGCCCAAGGACCAGAGTGAAGCTCAGAGACAACCTTGGTGACCAGGGAAAAATACAAATTTAATTTTTCCCCTTCAGACACATATTTCCAGAGCAGATCTGATATACAAAGTATCACACCAGCAAGAGACAAGGTAGAAAGAGGACATAAAGACAACCTTATTCTGAAGGATGGTTTTGTACTGTCCCCCTATATGGGGCACATCCTGAGCACCTTAAAGCTCAGTTTTGGACGAAGGGGTACGGTAGGATGTTGCCTGTACCCCACTGTGGCTGGAGAAGGCTGTGTGGGCCCACTGCTGTGGGTGCTCCACGCTCAGGTAGGAGAGGGCTGATGGGGCTTCCGGGGTGCCCTGTCCAGCTTCCTCTTGCAAGATGGCCTTGGCTTGGTGAGGATGGTGAGCTGGTGCTGAGCAGTTCTCCATCCCATCCCATCCCATCCCATCCCATCCTTGCTAGTTCCCAGACTCACCTGGAAGCATGACCTCCAAAGCTAAAGCCACATAACGGGAGGCTTCCCAGCTGGTCTGGCACAGCTGTGCCTCCACGTCATGGACCTCACTCCACAGCGGGTGCCTGCAGCGACACAGGTACTACTGAGGGGCCTTTGACACAAGGCAAGAAAGGGAGTCTGGGAAGGTACTGGAGCAGGTGAGCCCTGGAGGGGTTTTAACCTACTGGCTGCCCTGGTGTGAGGCATGATTCTTCACTTGTAGGGAAAACAAGCAGGACCCTGGCCCAGAGGACTGGGAAGCATCGTATGGCCAGGAAAGAGGGCCATCCACTACACATCCCAGTCCCGTCCCCCCCCCCCACCTCCCTTTCTTGGCAGCTCAGGTTCTTCCCGAGACCTGGGATCCCCAAACCACCAGACAGAAGAGCGTTCTCTCCATCCAGCCCATCTCCCCAGATGCGACCGAGGCCTGGGCAGGAAAGGGCCCTCTGGAGCCCAGAGGCCAAGGGGTAGAGCTGGGCTCTGCCTGCTCCCCAGCAGCCCCAGCTCTGCTGAGATGGCCCAAACAGCACGGGGTTGGCCCGCCTCAGGGACCACCAGTGGGGAAGGAGGATACGATAGGGCAGGGAACATTCGGGCTCTTTAAGGCTGCCAAAGGGCTGTTGGCAGGTCCAGGTTTGGATCTTCTCCATCCAGGAAGGTGGGTTTCACAGCTTTTCGGGGAGCATAGTACCATGTGGACAGCCTAAAGACAGGCAGCAAGTGGGGGCAGGGGCAGGAAAAGGGCAGGAATCTGGGTTTTAACAAGCTTGCCAGGTGGTTATTAGGCGAGGGGTCTGGGACCATGGGGGATACCTGTGCATTACTCAAAGCCCTCCCCCCTCCCAGGAGGTGGTATTTCAGCCCAGAGCTGGCCCAGCTGAGCCCACCAAGCCTGAGTTGAAGGGATATAAGCAGGGCACAGGCCATCTGGGCTTTGCCTGTGGTGGATGATATGCCTCCCCCAACCACCACTGTGGGCTCCCACGCAAACCCTAGTTACCCGCCTTGCTCACAGAGAGACCTCGGGACCCAGACACAAGGAGTAGGGTGGGGGGGCCGCACCAGGCCACTCGCTGCCTCCTCCGGGTCTGTGCTCTCCTCAGAGCTGCCTGCCCCCGGATGGGCCCTATGGCTCCTGGGCTGCTGCTGGGGTTCAGTGGTTCTGCATGAAGAGCCCTTAATTCCAGGGCCCCTGTTCTCCTCGCTGCCCTGTCCCTGTGCAGGGAGGTCACCGGTTATGGCTTGGAGCCCCAGCTGAGCCCAGAGAGGCCCCTAACGTCCAGCACTGATCCAGAGTATCCTCTTGAGAGGACAACATGAGTTTGGGCTGGGGCACTCCTGTGGCCCAGGTGTCTACTGAGTGTGGGGGTCATGGGACAACCTAGAGCCACAAGGATCCTCAAGCCACAGGAACAGCCAGAGGGAGGGGGGTTGGGGGGAGCCCTGCAGATAGGGAGAGCCCAAGGCAAGACTCCAGGAGGGGTGAGATTTCCGCCACCCCTGCCCTCTGCTTTCTGGCTTCCGCAGCCTGGGTGGGCGGCCCCGGACGCTGACTCCGGTGGTGGGTGATGGGAGGCAGGTCCTTGGAGAAAGGAAGCACCCAGCTGAGCGAGTGGAGGGTGCGGGTCGGGGTCTGGGCCCCGGGTGCAGGACACAGGCAGCCCTCCCCCACGTCTAGGAGTGACCCGGCTGGGACAGAACTCGAGGTGACAAGTCTCAGCAGAGCACATTCTTTTAGGGGAAGTTTCAGGCCCCTCAGGCTGGCCGGGGCTCCCTTCCCAGTGTGGCCCACCACCTGAACCGCACAAAATGCAATCGCTGCAGCACCAATGGCTCAGTGGTAAAATTCTTGCCTGTCACATGAGAGGTCTGGATTCGAACCCAGGCCAATGCAAAGGTTAGTTCTTCCCTTACCCCCACTCTTTTATCACATTTCCCCTAAAATTATGTTTTAACTGAGTGGTAAAAGAATGGTATTTCACTGGCCGCTGAGCCAGGCTTGGGAGCTACCCCAACTGAAACAGGCAGGGTGGGTTTCGGGGTTGCGGGTTCTGCGCATGGCACTGTTACAGCAGTATTTGCTGCAGACAGGGGAGGTCCTCAGCCGCATCAGTCCCCCTGGTCTGGGCTAATGGTTGCAGTCTGCAAGCCTGGGCTTCCCAAAAAAGATAAATGAATGCACATTTGGAATGGTGCAAGGGGCAGAGGTCAAGCCGCCTCCTCAAGTGTCCTCAGGGTCAGAGGCAAGGGCTGGGGGGGGGGACCTCCCCCACAAACCTTTCCCTCCAGGTTGCCAAAGCTGAACGTGACCAATTCTCAGGAAGAGCCACCAAACCCCATCCCGAACCTGTGCCTCCTCGGGGCAGCATCCTAAGAGCCAGAGCCTGCGCCTGCGCCCTCCCCCTGCGGCCCCAAACCCTGGGGAAGGCTTCCTTCTCCCCCCTGAAGTCCCCTGGGGACACCCCTGCCCCGGGCCTTGAATGCAGGGCCCCTCTAAATGGAGTCCCAGCCCCCATTGCTTCCCTGGTGCTGCTCCTGCACCTGCACCTCAGAGGGCCACCAGGACTGGGGCCGAGCCTGCTGGGCAAGGGGGCGGTGGTGGAGGAATAGGAGACCTGGAGACAGCAACTGGGACTGAAGAGCTAACCCGCGTTAAAAAACACATGAGAGCCCTAACCGGTTTGGCTCGGTGGATAGAGCATCGGCCTGCGGACTGAAAGGTCCAGGGTTCAATTCCAGTCCAGGGCACAGGCCTGGGTTGTGGGCTCGATCCCCAGTGGGGGGCGTGCAGGAGGCAGCTGATCAATGAATCTCTCTCTTCATTGCTGTTTCTCTCCCTCTCCCTTCCTGTCTGAAATTAATTTAAACACACACACACACACACACACACACACACACACACACACACGAGAGAGAGAACTGTGGGAGAGAACCACGGACCTCCCACCACAGATAATTACACGACTGCACCAACAGGTACCTCCCCCCAAAACAGGCATAAGAGTCTCACACACGAGAGCTAACCAACACCCACGTGCAGTTCTGCATCATTGGAGAAACACAAGTTTAAAAAACCGGGTTACCCACGAGTACACCTCTGCTCATAACCCCAAACAAACGCAGTGAAAAAGCTGCCCACACAGACCCTCAGGCTGCCGCGGGCAGGGAGAGATCTGGCCTGTTCTCTCTAGGTCAACCTGGAGGTGCAGACTCATCAGAGCAGCCCCGCCCAGCCCTGCCATCCCACCTGGCATCCCACCTCCGGGGACATGAGCAGGGCAGAACCCAAAGGCAGCCGGAACCTTGGGCAGGCCCCGGGGTGTTTACACGGATGCTGTTCCTAAGAGCAACCACCGCCCGCTGCCTCCGCCTCCCCACCCGCCAGACAGAAGCACCCAATTGCCCACCAAAGGGCCCGGAGCTCAGCGCAGCCAACACAGATGCCCAGCCACAGGGGCCAGCGTGTTCACACACACCCTCCTCATGCCTGTGGAAGTGGCCCGTTGGCTGGCACAGGTTGGTCACCTCTGTTCTGAAAGTAGTTAAAGGTTTCTTGAAGATTTCTTTAAGCTTCCCACGTTTACAGCCAAGATTTCATCCAGAAAGGTTCTTATTTGTTACTTCTCCAACACCTAAACCTGGAAAAGCCCCCCAAGGCCCACAGCGAGGCTCCCCTGGGAGGAGGGCACCCTGGTGTGCCGGCAGGATGCTGGCTGGTGCCGTCAGTGAGAAGGGGCCTGGGAATGAGCCGGTCGTCGCCCTCAGCGTACAGACCGCACCTGAGGCCGGGGAGGAAGGCCCTCCTCGGGTGCCACAGTGAGTAGGACGCAGCCTGAGCTGGGGTCCGTGTTCCATCCCGGGGGAACCCAGCGCCCCAAACAAGCCTCCTTCGAGCTAGAGCCTGTGTTTGAAGTAGCTGAGGAGAAAACCCTCCTCGCCGTCAGAGTTCCCCGGGACAAAGCTAGGTTTGGGGGGACACAGCTGAGAATTTGCTTTTCTCACCTGTCCCCAGGTCCAGGTGATGCTGCCGGCCGGCGGACGGACGTGGAGAACCCCGGCATTATGCTAACGTGCCCAAGGGTGCCACGGACTTTTCAGGTGGGACCAGCTGACGGCCACCTCCACCCACGAACCCTGAGATGGCCCCACAGGTGAGTCCTTTTCCGTGGCATCGAGGGACGTGCAGTTGTGGCTCCAAGAGGGCTGGCCTGCCAGTGTCAGAGCCCCAGCAGCAGTGGGGTTGCCACAAGGTGGCGCCAGAGTCGCGGCTGCTGGAGTCCACTGCATTCCTGCAGCAGGTGACGGTGTCCCCAGACGGGCTGTGCAGCAGACTCTGGGCCATTATTTCTGGCCACAGAGACACCCAGCCTGGCTCTCTGACTCTCCCCGGGATCCTGCGACCAATCATCATCCTTTTGTTTTTAAATTGAGGTGAAATTTTTCTAACATGAAATCAATATGGTGGCATTTGGTACATTGACAATGCCGAGATTCACCTAAGTTCCACATTTACCTAAGTCCTACAGCATTTTCATCGTTCTGACACAAAATCTGTACCCCCCCCAGGCAGCTATTCCCATTCTCCGGCCGCTTTATTGCAGTGGATTTTCCTGTTCTGAATATTTCAGATAAGTGGAATAATGCAAGATGTGACCTGTTGTGATTAGCTTCTCTCACTTAAAATATGTTTTTAAGGTTCGTCCACCTGGGGTATGGGTCAGCACTTAATTCCTTTTAATGGCTGGATAGGATTTCATTATATATATCGGCCACAATTTTCTTTAAATATGTTTTTATTGATTTTTAGAAAGAGAGGAAGGGAGTGGGATAGAGAGATAGAAACATCGATGAGAAAGAATAATTGATCGGCTGCCTCCCGCACGCCCCCCACTACAACTCAAGGTGTGCCCTGACTGGAACCGGCGACCTCTTGGTTCATGGGTTGATGCTCCACCACTGAGCCACACCAGCTGGGCCACCATTTTCTTGTGTATTCATCCATTGGTGACATTTGGGACTTTTCTACGTTTGGCTATCGTGAACAGTGCTGCTGTGAGCTTTGTGTGTAGGGATTTTCTTGTTCTCAGTTCTCTTGTGTACATGCCTGGGATTGGAATTGCTGGGTCATAGGGTCGCTGCGTTGAACTTTTGAGGAATTGCTGACCTACTTTTCTCAGTGGCTGCACCATGTTACCGTCCCACCAGCAGTGCACGGGGGCTCCAGTTGGCCCACATTGTCACTAGCCCTTGTGATTGTCTGTTTCTTTGGAAACATCCACCCTAATGGGTGTGACGTGGTGTCTCCTTGTGGTTTTGGTTTGGATTTCCGAATGGCTAGTGATGTTGAACATCTTCGTCTCTCATTTTGGAGAACTACCTATGCAAGTCCTGCACCCATTTCTAAATCACTGTCCTTAGGGTACATTCTTTTTCTGCCAGGATTAGCCACGGCTGTTTCTATTGGTTGCAACTAAGAATTGTGACGGATACACTTCTCCCCATCCATGGTCCCAGGCCACCCTTCGACCTCCAACCAGCAAAGCAACTCGACGTGGGCACAGGGCAGTGTGTCCGTGGGCCGTGGAACATTCTGGACCCGAACGACAGTGCCTGCGTGGGTCTTGGCACCACTGCGGGGAGAGGAGGGCGACAGAGACCCCGGTGTAGATAATCACAAAGAAAAAAGATACACGTGGAGTTGCAAAGAGAATAAAGGGAGAGGGTGTGATCGACACACAAAGCCACAGAGGCCGTTGAGAGGAGCTGGAGCAGGACATGAGGGACACGCATGAGCCTTCTAGATCTGTGCGTTTTTCAGGGGCTAAGAGCCTGAGAACATCACTCGGGTGAGCAGGGCAGGGACTAGGCCGGCAGGAGGCGGCGGCAGTGGAGCCTCAGGCTCTCTGGTCTCCCAGGGACCCCCCGGCTCATCTGAATCCCCTTCAAAAGGAGCAGTCACAGGTTTGGCTGTTTCATAACTTAGTTTAATCTCTTGTGGGTGCATCCTGGGCAGCGAGGGACCTCCATCTACCCCAGAGGGTCCATCCCAGATGGAGAAGAGCGGTCTCATCTGACCCCTGGCCTTGCTCCGGTTTCAGCACCTAATTAAGGCCCATCTCCCCAATCAAAAGCAGGCTGAGGGGCCCCTCCCCCTATGCCAGGCTTCCTGTTGGGCCTGCCCCACTTCCTGTAAGGTCTGAGACCTCTTTGGGCTTGAGGTCCTGGCCTGGCCCAGGTTCCGGACCGATGGTCAGGCAGGCAGGGCTGGTGTGCCTCCAGGCAGTGGCAGGGGAGAGGCCTGGCAGCGTCTCAGGGCCCCGGGTCCCACCGGGAAATGTGCTCCTGAGCTGGGAAGGAAGCAGAACAGAGCGAGGGTCCCTGGCAGCCCAGGGCACCCTGGGATGGGGACCCGCTGCACCGGGTCCAGAAGCACCCAGGGCCGTGGTCCCCTGTGTAGCTCAGGACCCTTCCAGCAGGCGCTGCTGGGAGCCGATTCTGGGCTTGGCTTCACCTCTGCCCCCCACCACTGGCTCTAGAGAATCAGGTAACATCGGAGAACCTGACAGGCCCCCAAATAGCAGCTTTAGTGACAGGAGGACGGGACCTTGGAGAAACCCCCGCCAGGCTGCACTTGGTCTTGCCGCGGGTGGACGTGCGGTGTGAGGCCGGCCCACCTTCCCGCTGGGCGTCCTCCAAGGCCCTGTGAGCTCAGACGCTCTCTAGGCCGGGGATCTGCGTATCCAGGCGCCTGGATCCGGCCAGCAGCCACCCCCGGGGACAGGCACCACGGGAGGGGAGCCGGGAGGGCCCTCACCAAACTGGCAGATGTAGCGGTTTCGGGTTTTGCAGCGTTGGTCGTTCCAGTTGAAGGCGGCCGAGGCCTGCAGCTCCACGCAGTTGCCAAACCTGCCGGGCCAAGATGTCGGGTGCTCAGGTGGGATGTTAGGTGTCTGGGAATTTCAGATCCTCCTCCCCAACAGGCCACCTGCATGTAAGAGGCCTCGGTGCCTCTAGCCTGTATGTGGGGCTTCTAAAAGCCAGACCAACCCAAGCTCCCATCCCTGCCCCCCGACCAGCGCTTCTCAGAGGATCCGGGAGGTTCTGGCCCACCGCCTGCCTGGGGCAGCAACTCCACCTGCCCACTGCGGCATTCAGCCACACCAGCCACGCCGGCCACACCAGTCAACACCAGCCAACGGGTGGGGAGCGGACCTGGAACAGGCAGGCCCTCCCTCCCAGGAGCCAGCCCAGCCTGGCTGCCTTCCTCTAGGTCAGTGGTTCTCAACCTTCCTAATGCCGCGATCCTTTAATACAGTCCCTCATGTTGTGGTGACCCCCAACCATAAAATTATTTTCGTTGCTACTTCATCACTGTAATTTTGCTACTGTTATAGATCGTAAGGATGTATTTTCATTGTTACAAATTGAACATAATTAAAGCATAATGATTAATCACAAAAACAATACGTAATTATATATGTGTTTTCCCGATGGTCTTAGGCGACCCCTGTGAGAGGGTCGTTCGACCCCCAAAGGGGTCACGACCCACAGGTTGAGACCCGCTGCTCTAGGTGATGGGCCAGGGGCATAGGCCTGGCTGCTGTCAAGGAGGTCGAGGGGGCGCTGGGTGGCCACACAGCCTGACCACCTCCACCCCTGTGACCCCGCCCTGGGCATTCCTAGGCTCTGAAGACCAGGGCGGGGCCACGTAACCAGAAGGCCCTCCGTACAGGCTGGCTGGTGGGTGGATGTTGTGTGAATGGATGCAGGCGGGTGGGTGGCTACAGAATCCAGGAATCAGTGTAGTGACACAGACACAGGGCTGGGGAGGGGGAACGGACGATAGATGGAGGGGACCATGGGGATGGTGGACGGATAAAGCCTTCTCGGGTTCCCTGGAGCATGCCTCATCTCAGCACCATGCCCACACCCAGCTGTGCCCTGACCTCCTGGGCACCCGGGTAGCAGGGGCGGCTCAGACCCTCAGAGGGCTCGGCCAGGCAGCAGGCTGGGGGAGGCTCTTCAATGCATCTCAAGGCTTAATGAGCAGGCCCAGCAGAGAAGGTGGGCCCAGGAGGGAGGGCACCCCAGACTCACCCCTGGTTGTCAGGTTGCCCAAAGGCAAAGCTGGTGAAGGACTGGTGCTCCCCGGTGTTCCAGCGGAAGGCGTCCTTAGCGGTCTTGTAGGTGAGCCCTGGGCCGGGCAGTCAAGGTTGGCCCCACGACCCAAGAAAGGAGGGCCGGAGCCTCAGCCTGCTGTCTCAGGCCTGCCTGGTCCCTGCCCTTCAGCCCCTCCCCAGCCCTCGCGTTCCCCTGGAGGTTCTCTCTCACTGCCGCTCTCTCCCCAGGGCAGGAGGAGCCAGCCTGACTGCCGGCCCCACTGGGCTCCAAGCCTTCACCCCGGCCTGACTGTCCACTGGTGGGTGCTCTGGTTTCCACAGCCCAGATTCCTGGGGGCATCCCAGCCCCCACACTCACCGATCCAGAAGTTCCTGGTCTCGAAGTCGCTGTCAGTCACCTCGTTGGTGGTCTCCAGGCGGCCCAGGTAGAAGGCGAGGATGTCCTGTACTTTCTGGCTCTCGATCTGGGCGAGGACCCCGCCCTTTCCCTGTAACCCCCACTCTGGGTCATGCCGGCAGGGACCCAGCGCTCAGGCAGCCCTTCCTGCCACCCCACCGTGGCCATGAATGACAAGTACGTGTGCTGGCTGTGCTGTCGTTGTCCCCCACCCCACAGCCTCCTGCCTCTTAGACGAGGGGTCCCCCTCCCTCTCCCCTGCCTGCGCGGGGCCCATCCTGGCAGGATCCTGCCACTGGAAGGCTTTTGGTTTACTTGCTCAGTGCCTTACATAATTTGAGTTGGCCGCCAACATTAATAAGTCTAGAGATGCCAATGAAAATCTGGGTTTCTGGTTCTGAAAAATCCCGAGTTCTGGCCTCCCTGACTCGTATCCCTGTTGGCAGCCAGCAGCTGGAGCTGAGTCAGGACAGCTCCTTAGATGGGGGTTGGGTGGGGGCCTCGTTCCTGGTCCCTCAGCTCAGTACATGACCTCTTGGTTTCCGTGGGCCTCCGAGTGGACCCCTGCTTTATGCTAATGATGAGAAGGTGTCAAAGGAGCCATCTCTTAGTCCAGGATCCCTCCTTAGTCCTT